ATGGGGTGGGGAGAGGGAAGGGGAAGGAGAGGTCCTGGGGTCTGAATTAGAACAAGATATATTCCATGCTTTTATAATTATGTCAAAATGGATTCTACTGTCATGTATAACTAAAAAACCAATAAAAAAGACAGCATGAAAAAATACATACTATCTCACTGATAATATTTTATATTGATTATATGTTGAAATGATAATATGCTGGATATATTGGTTATATACAAATACATTAGGGCTGGGGTTGTGGCTCAGTGTCAGAGTACTTGCCTCGCACATGTGAGGCACTGGGTTCGATCCTTAGTACCACATAAAAATAACAACAAAAAAAAAAGGTATCATGTCCATCTACAATTAAAAAAATACATTAATTTAAAAAAGATAACAGTATTGCACAATGAATGTTGTATTTCTGTCACTCTTCTCTATTGTTCTATTTTCCAGTTGATTTTTCTCTAAGCTTTTGTTGGGAAGGCTGTCAAGAGCCATCAACATGTATTGTTTCACGTTTTTGATCATCTGTGTTGTTGATGATGATAAATATAGAAATATGGAGGTAGTGTATAGGGACCATAACAAAACCATATTTCTTCTCCTTCAAATTTATCATGCAGGAGCCAGTGAGCTCACTCCTTCAAACAAAGTTTCAAAAAACTTTGTTGGGGGGTAGAAAATAAAATAGTGTGTCAAATGAAGATACAGGAGTAAATGCTGTCTGTAAACTTAGAATAAATAATCTTATGTTCTAGGGTGGTGAATATGTAATTCATTTGTGCAACCAAATAATTACTAAAGGGTTTTTCAAAGTATCTGACATACTGCTGTTATGTTAGAAGCTTGCCCTCTAACTGGGGAGCCAGGCCATACTAGCTGAAAAGTTAAATAATGATACAAAATAACATCAATTGCTTTGTGTGTGGGGGGGGAGGGGTAACCAGGGATTTAACTCAGGACACTCAACCACTGAGCCCCATCCCCAGCCCTATTTTGTATTTTATTTAGAGACAGGGTCTCACTGAGTTGCTTAGGGCCTCACTTTTTGGTGAAGCTGGCTTTGAATTCACGATTGTCCTGCCTCAGCCCCCCGAGCCACTGGGATTACAGGCATGTGCCACCGTGCCCGGCATCAAATGCCTATTAAATACCTCTCAATGCATCTATGCAACAGATCTATAAGGAAGAATTACAATAATTACACAGGTAAGGAAACTGGAGACTGAGTACATTGTTTAGTGTCCTGTGGCTAAGTGGTAGGGCTGGGACCTAACATAGTTATATCTGAAGGCAAAACTTTTGCTCTCAAATGTAATTCAGTACTGCTTTCCAACCCAACTAATTCCCATTCTCTGATCCTCAGGATTGGCCTGGTTTCACTCCTCTAGTAGGGACTGTATTAGTCATCTATTGCTGTATAACAAACCACAAGTTCAGTAGGTTAAAACAACCCTCATTTATGAGTTTATAGTTCTATAGTTCAGAAGTTCAATATCCTGTGGCTGGCTTCTCTGCTCAGGGAATCACAGGACTGAAATCAAAGTGGCTTCTGGACTGAATTTTCATCTGAAGATTCTGTGTAAAAATCCCCTTCCAAGCTCATTGTTGTTGGCAGAATTCAATTCATTGTGGTGGCACATCTGAGATCCCTGTTTCTTTGCTGGCAGTCATCCAGGGACCACTCTTGGATCTTAGAGTCCCCTGTATTCCCTGTCATGTGCCCCTTTTCTTCTTCAAGCCAGAAATACCACAGCAAATCCTTCTTGGGCTTCAAATTTCTGACTTCCTACATCTCAAACTTTAGACCCAGATGTAAAGAGTTTGCGTGATTGAGTCAGGCCCACCCAGATAATCTCTCTTTTAAAGTCAACTTGGAACTTTAGTTACTTCTGCAAAAATCCCTTTTGCCCTATAACAAAATCAGGAGAGTGATATTTCCTCATAGTCCCAGGTTCCATCCAAACTCATGGGGGAAAGATGATATAAAGTCATAACATCACAAGGACTCTTAGAAACTAGGGAGGAATGTGGCAGTTGGAAAATTGGAAAGGGTATTTCCTTAAAACTGTAAAGGACACAAAGTATTAAAACAACTTGAAAAAAGCACAAAAGACAATGAAACCATACAAGTAAACAAAGATGGGCAGGTTTTTTTTTTTTTTAACCAACAGAAATGTAAAATAAGTTATTTCAGATAGGAAAATCTTCTTTTGAGGGCTCGAGTCACTGCTCGGTTTACTGGTGAACACTGAGTCACTGCTGATGAGGTTGGTGCTCTGCCATCTTCCCTAGGCACTGGCAGTTGCAATAAATAGGCAGCTGCCTCCTGCTAACACCTGTCATTCTCTGCCTGGGGGTTTTCCGTTAGCCCTCTCCTGGGGCAAGTCTGAAATACTAGGGAGTTGATCCCTGAGAGCATCCCTTAGCCAATGATGGGGGAAATTTGTTGGATGATCACCCAAGTTTCCTAATCCCTTGGGTAAAAACCAAAAACCAACAAACAAACCCCAAACCAGAAAACCTTTGGGACAAAACCTATTGTCTCCCAGAGTTCCCTGATGTATTTGAGCCCACTGATATGTGCTAGTGGTAACTGACACAATAAAACAACCTTTATTGGTTTCTCCTGAGGCTTTAATTCTACCGTCTTTACTGTGACTACCTTCCACATAAAGTACTTACATTTAAATTCTTGTCTTAGGTTTTTAGGCACTTAACACAATAGTGACTGTATCCTTGCATTTGATTTAATGGAAAAGGGCATTAACCTTTTTTAGACAAATAGACTTATATCCCAGACAATGTGAGATTTTAATTTTGTTTTCTATAAAAAGAGGACAATAAGGGGCTGAGGCTGTAGCTCAGTGGTAGAGTACTTGCCTAGCATGTGTGAGGCCCCAGATTTGATCCCCAGTACCATGAAAAAACACAATAATGTTATGTCATCACATCAAATGAGGTAATGATTATGATAAACTATCTGGCTCATAGAAGGCACTTAATAAGACCTATTTTTTTCTTCTTTTTCTGGAATCATCGGTCTCTTCCTTCCTAGTACTTCTTCAATTTTTCCAAGAGTCAGCTCTCATGGTTTAAGCAGCCTGCCCTGTCTGGGTGTGGCTCACTGAGACATAGTGGAGGAAGCACGATTTTCCATGCAGTTATATTTTTCTGTAAAATCAGAACATTTTATTAACAATAAGTAAGCCAAATATCCAACACCACTAATTTAAATCAAATAGATCCAGATATTTAAAATATCTAAGATATTTTGGTGCTTTACTCTCCCATTATCTGTCTCTCTCTCTCTCTCTCTCTCTCTCTCTCTCTCTCTCTCTCTCTCTTTTTGGTACCAGGGATTGAACTCAGGGGCACTCAACCACTGAGCCACATCCCCAGCCCTGTTTTGTATTTTATTTAGAGACAAGGTCTCACTGAGTTGCTAAGTGCCTCGCTTTTGCTGAGGCTGGCCTTGAACTTTCGATCCTCCTACCTCAACCTCCCGAGTCATTGGGATTACAGGTGTGCGCCACCACTCCTGGCCCCAAATGTTACCTTTAATGTCAATGTAATCATGTGAGATACGAAATATTGATATATTGGTATAAATTCTATTGTCAGATGGCCCAAGTTTAAGTCTCATCTCTGCCACTTACTGGCTGTGTGACCTAAGGCAAGGAAATCTCTTTATGCCTTTATTTCCTCATCTGTTGTGTAGGATAATAATGATATCTCCTTAATGGGATTTTTTTTCTTATTGTACTGGGAATTGAACCCAGGAGCACTTAATCACTGAGCACATCTCTAGGCTTTTATTTATTTATTTAGTTTGAGACAGGGTCTTGCTAAGTTGCTGAGGCTGGCCTCAAAATTGCAATCCTTCTGCTTCAGCATCTCAGCCACTGGGATTATAGGTGTGTGCCACCATGCCAGACTATTCTTGTTATTTCTATGTATTATTATTTGTTCAGTGACCTCCCTTGTGATGTCTCTGACCAACATAAGCAAGTGGACCCGTTTTACTCTTCCTGCGCTGTGGATGTTCTAGAAACAGTGCTGTTTTTGTTTTTTTTTTTTAACTATTCACTTGCTGTAGAAACTTTCACTTGTCTATGTCCCTTCTAGACTGTATACTCACAGGTCAGGCCTACTCTTTATTAACTTCTACATTCTCTGCTTATTGCATAAACTAATTGGAACTGGAAACTACATGGTTAGATATGTTTTCTATCCAAATTCACATTTTTATACAATTAAGCAATGGATTCTAAGTGAGACTGTGTCACTGGTATGAGAACAGGAAACATATTAGTTAAGCCAGTCACATTTCTTACTGGCTGTTTGATAGGGAAGATGATTATATCTCTCTGAGCTTTAGTTTCCTCATCTATCAAATGAATAGAAGGATAAAATTTATAGGGTGGTACTGAAAACTAAATGAGATGATACAGGTCAAAAGTCTGGCACAAAGACTTCATGTTTGTTTGCTTTTTTTGTTTATTTGTTTTTTCGTGACCCAGCCAATCGGCCTCAAGAGCAGGAGGATTGTGGGAGGTGGAGAGAAGCTTGTGGGGGGAGAGAGAGGCTTGTGGAAAGCCAGTGGTGGCAGTTGAGGCTCTGAGGGGTTTTTCCTGAGAGGCTGTTTGGCGTGTTTTGTTCTAAAAATAAAGTTAGTTTCTTTTGACAAGTGGCTCCTGATTGTGCCCAGCCAGACTGCGGCAATTTTTTTTTTTTTTTTTTTTTGCATCAGGGATTGAATCCAAGGGCACTTAACCACTGAGCTACATCCCCAGCCTTTTATATTTAATTTAATTTATTTTTTTTATTTAGAGACAGGTTCTCACTACATTGCTTAGGGCCTCGATAAGTTGCTGAGGCTGGCTTGAATTTATGATCCTCCTGCTTCAGCCTCTCAAGCCACTGGGATTACAGACATGCATCACCACATCTGGCCTACAAAGACTTCTTGATAATAATTTCTTTCCCACTCTTTTCTCCTTAATCCAAAGTGCTGCTCAACAAGAATTCGAAGACAACTGGACAGAAACCTCACCTTTCATAAAATGGTGGCGTGGATGATAGCACTTCACACTGGTAAGGAATTGGGCAGAAAAATTGGAATCAGAGAGTTCTTTCTATTCTTTTTTTTTTTTTTTTGGTACCAGGGATTGAACTCAGGGGCACTTGATCACGGAACCACATCCCCAGTCCTATTTTGTATTTTATTTAGAGACAGGGTCTCACTGAGTTGCTTAGGGCCTCACTAAGTTGCTGAGGTTGGCTTTGAACTCACGATCCTCCTGCCTCAGTCTCCCGAGCTGCTGGAATTACAGGCATGTGCCGCTGTGCCCTGCAGAGAGTTCCCCTCTGTTCTTGAAAACCTACGTGTTAAGAGATCAGCCTTTACAGGTTGATTATGCTGTAGTCAGATATGCTGTATTTTTTAATGAGTTCTATTCAAAAGTATTCATGACTGTTTCTGGTAATTAGGACTTATTCCTTTAGGTTTAAAGTTTTTCATTTTAGGATCTTCCTATAAATTAAAATGTGCCATAGGAAAAGTCAATCCTGGTGTCCTAACACTTTCTCATTTTTTTTTTTAGTATCAAAATGTTTGTTACTGGGAGTGCTATGCCTGTAATCATAGAGGATCAGGAGGCTGAGGCAGGGGGATCACAGGTGCAAAGCCTCAGCAACTTAGCAAGGCTGTAGGCAACTTAGTGAGACCCTGTTTCAAAAAAGGCAGGGGAGCGGAGAAGCTGGGGATATGGCTCAGTGTTTGAGCACTCTTGGGTTCAATCCTTGGTACCAAAAAAAACACAAAAGTCTGTTAATCCACATATGACAGCTTTTATTTATCCTACAGAATTGCCTGGTTATACATGTTGATTTTTTTAATAGTAAACCTATGGGAATATTAGCTCATAAATTGAGAATCCCTTAAGAAAGCACTTATCAGCTAAGCATTTCATTATTGTTATTTTATTATCATATGTGTGTATATATATGTGTGTGTATATATATATATATTAGATATATGTGTGTACATACATTACATGTTGTTATTATAATTATTAAGGTGGTAGTGGTACAGGAAAGGATGTGCCTAGGACCCTTATCCAATCTCCATTAATTCATTTATTAAATAATTCATGTGTCAGGCAGTAGACATGTACTGAACAAACCAGGCTTTTACTTTGCCCTTAAGTTTATCCCTGAGTAAAAGAGGCTTAGTTTATAGGCATTGGACTGGGTTCCTCTTTTCCTACCAGATCACACAGGCTTTTTGAGTTGTAGCAAATGAAATCTTTCAAAAGAAATTTCTGAGCCAGGTGCAGTGGCACACGCACATCTGTAATTCCAGCGGCTCAGGAGGCTGAGGTGGGAGGATCTCAAGTTCAAAGCCAGCCTCAGCAAAAGTGAGGTGCTAAGCAACTCAGTGAGACCCTGTCTCTAAATAAAATACAAAATAGGGCTGGGGATGTGGCTCAGTGGTCGAGTGCCTCTGAGTTCAATCCCCCGTATGCCCCTGCCCCCCCCCCCAAAAAAAGGAATGTCTGCCAAAATCCTGTTACAAAGATTGGAAGTCAAATTGGTAAGAAAATAGGTTTCATTCAAAGCCAGCTTTGAGGGATTGGTGACCCTGGGCAAGGTTTTATAGCAGTCTATACTCCAGTCTCCTCATCTGTGAGAGGAGCAGTTATTAAGTGCATCTACATCAACAGGTCAGGGTAAGGATTAAGTCATCATAATGCACCTATAACAGTGTTTGGCATCTGGTAGATGCTGTGAAAGTGAAATAAAGAAATGCAATTTGTTTTTTCCTTAAGAGGTTCATACTGGTGGCCATTGGTTTGTACCAAAGCACTCACATTTGTCATCTCTCTCTGGAGGTAATTATGGAGTCAGGTGAATGGGCCAGCTATTAGGCATATATAAAGAATTCTCTTGTTTGAGCACAAATATATTAAGGAGGGAGAGAGAATGAGGGCATATCTAACCCTCTCAGAGACTGAGGCTATTTTGTAGTGTCACAGGAGAAGACGTGCCTGGGAAGAAGGGTATGAGCAGTGTCCAGAGAGAAGGGAGAACCCGATCCCCGCCAGTGGGGTTCTTGGCATACATAATGGAAAAGAATTTTAGCACGTGCCAGTCAGAGGCATAGACAGGTTTATTTAAGAAAATAGGTTCACATTCGAGGGATAATGGGGGCCATCTCAAGGAGGAGATGCATTTTGGGGGTTCCCAGCTCTGCTTTAAAGGAAACTTGGAGAGGGGCGGGTATGGAAAGGTATGTAGGAATGATATCAGTCCAGTGATCTCAGGATGGGTTCTTGTGGTCTGGTCAATCTCTGTATCCTTAGGCTAATGTGATCTTTGTTATCTGATCAATAGATAACTCTGGAAAGTACCCTAAGTTATAAGTTCCTCATTATATCATATATCTCTCTTTGCTGAATCTAATTATTGGAAGGGTTGATTATCAGTGTACAGATAGATTTACAGATTTCTCAGGAAGGTGGAAGTAGCAGGCCTGGAAAAGTATGTGGAACTCTGAATTAAAATTCTATATTCTTGTCCTTCCTTTATATCTCCTTTCTATCTCTCATTTCCTCTATCCTACCACAGTAGATTCTCAGAAATTGATTGAATCTTTAGGAGTATGTAGCTCAACACCTTTATTTTACAAATGAGGAAACCAAGATCAGAGAGGTTAAGTGATTTCTCCATAACCACAAAGCAGAAAGGAGCTTACCCGCTATTAATGGTATTAACCATTAGCACCCTGGGGAAAGAGGCTAGGCTATACTGCTTGCTTATTGCTCCACAAAAATTCAGAATCAAATTGGCAGGAAAATAGCCAGTTTTGAAGGAAGGAATTTCATACTTCATAAGGAGTCTGTTTCATCTCTAGAATAGCTTTGCCTCTCTGGGTTATGAAGAGTCAGTTCTTGTTTATTAGCATCCTAGGCCACCTCTGTGTCTATGTGACTTATCATAGAGTCAGAGGCTGTGGCCAGAAACCCAGATTATACTACATTTGTGCAAATGCCTCACCCTCTTTGTTTCTCTTCTCTGCCCTCTTTAGCAATCCATACCATTGCACATCTGTTCAACGTGGAGTGGTGTGTGAATGCCCGAGTCAAGAACTCCGACCCTTATTCAATAGCACTCTCTGAAATTGGAGACAAAGAGGGTGAAAATTATCTCAATTTTGCTCGAGAAAAAATTAAGGTAAGCCTCTCTTTTCCTGATTTAGATGTCCCCTAAGCTGTTAAAACAGGATTTCACTGAGTGAAGAACTCATCTTGGCTGGAACAATAACATCTCAAAATATAAATAAAGAAGTCAATAGAAAGGGCTGGGGATGTGGCTCAGTGGTTAAACCTCCCTGGGTTCAATTCCTTGTAACAAAAGCAAAAATAAAACAATAAAAAAAAAGAACAGATGGAGGGCAAATCTGGCCTGCTTGGATTAATTTGCAGACCCCCACCCCAGATTACTATTCCTCCAGATTACTATTCCCCATCCCAGATGTTGGTGTTCTACAAAGTACTTTTGTGAATTAGGGAGCACCCTGGCCTAAGCATCAGGCCAGCCACTGGCTGACAGTTGACAGTGATCTTTTGTTCTTTTTTAACCTACAGCATCTGAGGGGTGGCCTGTGTCTGCTACTTTGCAATCCTTGGTACACTAAGAATTAGTTCAGTGTTTTCTTTTTTTTTTAATATCTTTATTTTACATTTATGTGGTGCTGAGGATCGAACCCAGTGCCTTGTGCATGCCAGGCAAGTGCTGTACCACTGAGCCACAACCCCAGCCCAAGTTCAGTGTTTTCTTGGGCAGCCATGAGGGTATCCAGAGGCAAGGACTTCTCCTGTCCCAGGAGATGTCAAAGCTTATTAGAGAAGCTCCAAGCCAATGCCCAATGGCTTGGGAAGATGGCTAAATCTCATAACTATGCATTAAATTTCAAACATGTTTTTTTCTGTTCAGAAAAGATCACAAGAGAAGACATTTAATTTTGCTCAAATTCATATCCTCAAAGTGACATGAGAGAAAAATTGCCTGATCTTCTTAGGGACAGAATTAAACAGCATCAAACAAAACAAATTCTTTTCCTATGATATCTTGAATAATTCTTCTTTTCATTGTTCATTGTTTGCCCAGTAATAATAAGGGTCACAAAATGAACACAATGGTGAGCTGACACTGCCACACTCTGACCAGATCTCCTTGAGTCACCTGTACTGTACCTGTGCTTCCTCGGAGTGTGTTCAATGACCTATACCTGGGTTTCCTTCTGCAAAAACTGCCCCGGGACTACCAGCATCCCTTTGCCCAAAAGTTCAGACATCTGAAAGGGCCTGGTTGGTTACCTCTCCCTGGGTAGCCCTTGGCCAATAACTGATGAGAGCAGACCACAGTAGTCCAGCTTCTTCAGGATAAACTCCGAGGTGTAACTTCCTCCAGAGTTCCCCTGCGGGATCGGGCTGAAGCTTTCTCCCGTGAAACTTGTTCTGAGACCATCCCCTTGCTTAGCTTTTTGTTTTATCTTGTTCTATTCTTTATTCCCTTTACAGTTTCCCTTAAGGTCCATTCTTCATAATGAATTCTTTTATTTATTTATTTTTTGATACCAGGAATTGAACCCAGGGACACTTAACCACTGAGCCACATCCCCAGCCCTTTTTATACTTTATTTAGAGATAGGGTCTGGCTAAGTTGCTTAGGGCCTCACTAAATTGCTGAGACTGGCTTTGAACTTGCGATCCTCCTGCCTCAGCCTCCCAGAGCCACAGGGATTACAGGTGTGCACCATTGCATCTGGCTATAATGAATTCTTGCTCATGGATCCTCATCTCAGGGTCTACTTCTGGGGAATCCAGCCTAAGATGTATTTATAAATCTATAAGCACTGTAGCCTTTTCCAAATAAAAGGGAGAAAGACCTTTAGAAAGTTCTAGGTCATCTTTTAGTCAATGATTTATTTTATATTCCCTTAAAACTGTCTTTAAGCTGGGCACAGTGGTGCGTCTGTAATCCCAGTGGCTCAGAAGGCTGAGACAGGAGGATTGTGAGTTCAAAACCAGTCTCAGCAATTGAGCAAGGCCCTAAGCAACTTAGTGAGACCCTGTCTCTAAATAAAATACAAAATTGGGCTGGGGATGTGGCTCAATGATTAAGCGTCCCTGGGTTTAATCCCTGGTATCAATTCATATTTTCTATGATTCCCCAACCATGTAAGTTTCCTTTAAAATTTAGAGATATCTACTCTGTGTCTATATGTTTCTGTGAGGGGTGATTAGTATTATCCAAAAGGGGGGGAGATGAAAACACCTATTGTCCTGTATACTGGACACTTTGTGAATGGGCAGTCTTGCATCTGAGAGCCTACAATAATGTGTGTGTGTGTGTGTGTGTGTGTGCATATTTTACAGAACCCTGAAGGAGGCCTGTATGTGGCTGTGACTCGCTTGGCAGGCATCACTGGAATTGTCATAACACTGTGTCTTATCTTAATTATCACCTCCTCTACCAAAACCATCCGGAGATCTTACTTTGAAGTGTTTTGGTACACACACCATCTCTTTGTGATCTTCTTCATTGGTCTTGCCATCCACGGAGCTGAGTAAGTTTTAATTCCAAAGCCAAGGACTTTATGTCATTCAATTTCCAGGTGTGGTGCCCTACTGGACATGGTGACTTCCTTACTTATGTGTGGTCAGCCTGTCTGCAGAGGTCAGTTCAATAGAAATCAGTTAGCAACATTTGTAGTTTCCTACACACAATTAGTTGCTATTTACAGTGCAGGTATTTATAGCAAGCTTGAAAAATACAACCAAGTCTGAGTATCTTTGCTAGTGTATAAAACATATTGAACCAGATGGGGTGGTGCTTGCCTATAATCCTAGTGACTCCAGAAGCTGAGGTAGGAGGATTGCAAGTTCAAGGTCAGCCTCAGCAATTTAGGAAGGCTCTAAGCACCTTAGCTAGACCCTGTCTCAAATAAAAAATAAAAAGGGCTGGGGGTGTGACTCAGTGGTTAAGCACCCCTAGGTCCAATCCTCAGTACCAAAACAAAAACACAACAACAAAAATACACAAATAAACAAACAAAAAACATATTGAGAGCACTGGTAAGGTCTATAGTATTGTCTCCTGTGGCTCAATCACTAGTGAATTAGGAAAACTCCCAAGGCAGAGTGGTTAATGATGTGCTAGTTGAACAGGTTTGCTGTAGTTCAGTGGGTTTTGATTTAAGCCAACCATTATTTCTTGGCTGCCTATTGCATATGAGGACCTATCTCAGGTACTGTGGGGAGTATTAGTCAGAAAAATCTGTGGATCTTACCTTCTAACATTCTAATATAATAAAGGTAGCAGTGAACTTCTATTGAACATTTGTTCTCTATCAGGCTCTATGCTAAGAATTTGGCATGAAATGTTTCTTTTAATCCCCCCCAAATGAATAATTGTTCTCACTATCCCCATTTCTGGGGAACGGTAATTGTAGACAAGGAATCTGAAGATCAAAAAGATAAATTTTTGCTAGCTACTCTTCTATAAATATATATATATATATATATATATATATATATATATATATCAAAACACTTAACACTAAAAAAACCCCCAAAACCAGTTAATAAACAGACACTTTTCAAAAGAAAAAAAATACAAATTAGGGAAATGCAAATCAAAACTACACTGAGATTTTAATCTCATATCAGTCAGAATGGCTGTCATCAAGAGTACAAATAGTGTCAGCTGAGAACTAAAAAATAAATATTAAAAAAATTCTCTCTCTCTCTCTCTCTCTCTCTCTCCCCCACTCTTTCTTTAAAAAAAAAAGAGTACAAATAGTAATAAATATTGAAGAGGATGTAGAGAAAAGGGAACTCTTTTACACTGTTGGTGAGATTGTAAATTGGTACAACCATTATAGAAGTCAGTATGGAGGTTGCTCAAAAGACTAGGCATGGAACCACCATAGGACCTAGCTATATGCTCTTTGGTATTTGTCTAAAAGAACTAAAGTCATCATACTCTCGTGATGCATGCATACCCATGTTTATTGCAACACAATTCACAATAGCCAAAATATGGAAACAGCCTAGGTGTCCATCAATGGATGAATGGACACAGAAAACGTGGTATAGGTACACAATGGAGTTTTATTCATCCATTAAGAAAAAATGAAATTGTTATTTGCAGGAAAATGGATAGAACTGGAAGCCTTTATTTTAAACAAAATAAGCCAAATTCCAAAGATCCAGGGTCACATGTTTGCTCTCCTATGTGGAAGCTAGAGAGGAAAAAGGAAAACAAAGGTAAAGGGCAGGGATCTCATGAAAATCAAAGGGAGAAAAAAAAAAGAAAATCAAAGGGAGAGCAGTAGAGGAAAGGTATCAAAAGCAGGGGAGGAGGGAGGGAGGGGGAAGTGCTGGGGAGGGGTGTGAGCCAAGTTATATGGCTACACTCTGTGCTTGTGTGAATCCCATCATTTTATACAACAAAAAATGCACCAATAAAAAATGTGGAAGCAGAAAAAAAAATATGTAGGCCAGGCCACCTTGGCTGGTAATGGCCTAGAATAATAGCAGCTTAAAGGGAACTGTGATGAACACCCTCATGGAGATACAGAGCTTGCTCGGGAGGAACCCTCTTTAATACCAGGCTTCCTTTTCTACTGTTTCACGCCACCTGCTCGCCAAGGCAGGCCCAGGGAAGTTCCCTGGTGGCTACAGAGTTCCAGGAAAGTAGGAGTGGGGGAGGTAGATACTCAAACAGTCTGCCCAGAGCCAAGTCAGTCTAGCTGTGGCCAAGACTTAAGTGTGAAAAGGGGAAGGGTGGGGAGAAGCACCCTTGAGCAACCTCTGCATGCATTCTTAACCCACTTCCTCACTCTGATCCTTGATAAACTCTTTCTAAGCACTGAGAAATCCATAGAACAAAAAATAAAGCAGAACAAAACAAAACAAAAAACCTCTCAACTCTCCAAAAACAATTGCATATTAATTTATTTATTTTGGTACTGGGGATGGAACCCAGGGGCTTAACCACTGAGCCACATATTTTTGATTTTGAGACAGAGCCTTGCTAAATTGCTTAGGGCCTCACTAAATTGCTTAAGACCTCTCTAAGATGCAGGAGCTGGTCATGAACTTGCAATCCTACTACCTTAGCCTCCCAAGCTGCTGGGATTACAGGCAGTTACATGATTTTTGTACCCACAAATAAAGTACTTCTGCTAAGTCTCAGGGCCACTATGTATGACTGTATAGGTTGTCTACTACATAAGGGTGCCCAACCAAAGAGAGGCAAGGTAGCTGGCTAATCCCTTTGCCTGCAGGACTGCCCTCACAGAAGGGGAGCCTTTTTTCTAATATACACAAAGGCACTGTTTAGGCTAGTAGCCACTCTGTAGATTTGAAGTTTTTTGGTTTCTATTCTTTGTAAATGAAAATAATCTCAAGGCAGAAGCACACATTCTCCCCTTAAGAAAACTCATATTGATGATCCAAGATCTGCTCTTTACGGTAAATGCAGATATTCTTTGTGTCATTGCATACTTTTTTTCCCCCCATTGCTTAGGATCACATATTTTGCTGTTATGTGGTGGTGTATGACTTAATCCCAGAGACTTGGGAGGCTGAGGAAGAAGGATCACAAGTTCAAGGACAGTCTCAGCAACTTAGCAAGACCCTATCTCAAAATAAAAAAATTAAAAGGGCTCGGGATGTGACTCAGTAGTAGAGCATGCCTGGGTTCAATCCATAATGTAAAAAAAAAAAAAAGGAAAAATTGCGTATTTTCTTTCTTCTAATCTATTGGGGGGGGTGATGAGAAGGTACAGCTTTTAAGTAAAAACTACAGGACCCATGTTAGGGGTACTTAAAATATGCAGAATATCTGGCTGGGGACATAGTTCATTGCCTAGTGCAAGTGGGGCCCTGGGTTCAATCCCCAGCACTGAAAGAAATAAAAAAGAAAAAAAAAAAAAACTCAAAACCCAGAATTTAAAAACACAGATAGCTTAATTTCTTGCTACTAAATGAATTAGTTGCATGTTTTTCTTCTAGACGGATTGTACGTGGAGAGACTGACAGGAGTTTGAATTACACTAGGCAAAATTCATGTAAAGACAATATCACACAGTGGGGAAAACCAGGCTGTCCAGTTCCGGACTTCGCTGGGAATCCTCCTATGGTATGTATGACTCATTGTTGCTATTAAAGTTTTATTACTGTCAGTCTTTAAACTATGTCTAAGATGTGCACAAATGTCATAGAGTTGTCTGTTACAAATGTCACAGAACTTCTAGGATGTCAAATCTACTTTTCTCTACTATATTTATTGGCTAGAATTCTTTCTTGAAAGAATTATATTTTTTTTGCATTGATCTGTTATCAATGTCCTGAAAGAAAACTTGGCAAAGCAGCGTTTTAAAATTGTTGTTTGGTGCCATGCACCTGGTGGGGCACACCTATAATCCCAGAGATTTAGAAGGCTGAGGTAGGAGGATCACCAGGTTCAAGACCAGTCTCAATATCTTAGTAAGGCCCTAAACAACATAGCAAGACCCTGTCTCAAAATAAAAAAATAAAAAGGCCTGGGGATGTGGCTCGGTGGTTAAGGGCCCTGGGTTTAATCCCCAGTACCCAAAACAAAGAAACAAAAAAAGATTATGGGTTCAAGAAGTTCCATCTCTTTTCTTTTGGATGTGAATACCACAAAAACAGCAGTTAGTGCTTTTCACAAGAACTGTTAAGGATTCCATCCTGAGCTGATAAATCCCTTATAAGCAGCTAGAGGCCTCTTCAGATACCAGGAAATAAGACTTTCTATAAGGCTTTCAGAACTGGGAAGAAAATTGATGATGTGACACCCTGCAATGCCTTTAGGGATTAGGAGGTCCAGTCTTTCAGGCCTGAAGGAGGCTGGAAAGCTAGGTTCACACAAACACCCGATGGCACCATGTGACGGAGCAAGAGTGTGGTACTGGTGACTGAGGGTAAAAAATATTTCCTTTCCCTATAGGGAGTTCTGAAGGGCTCCTTTTCGTGTTTCCTCAAAATCTCTGCTCCATAAAGTGAGAAGAGGGACTTGTAATTTTTATATCTTTCCCCTCATTGACAGACAGTATACTTTATTGTTTCTTGCGCTAGCCATTTATTATGGTTTGGATATGAGGTGTCATCCTAGTGCTCCTGTGTTAATGCAGAATCATGAGATGGAATGATTAGATTATCATAGCTGCAACCTAATCCCTCTGTTCTACTTTGAATGGACTGACTGGGTGGTAACTGTAGGTGGTGGGGGGGGCGGGGGGGTGTGACAGGAGGAGGTGGGTCATGGGGCGTGTCTGGAATGGTTCCTTTTCCCTGTGGCCCCTACTCTCTCCTCTTTCTGCTTCCTGACCACCACGAGGTGAACAGCTTCCCTCTGCCATACCCTTCTGCCATGATGTTCTGTAGCAATGGACTTCGTTGACCACGTACTAAACCTCTGGAACCTTGAGCCCAAATAAACTTTCCCTCTTACAAGTTGTTCTTGTCAGATATTATGGTCACAGTGACAAAAAGTTGATTAAAACACCATTGCTATAAAACTGGACAAGAATCATCATTTGTACAAGGGATTCTGGATAGGATTATTATTCTTTTCTTATACACAGTATGACATAAAAGCATATTTGCATCCCATTTTCTCCCTTTTTCCTACTCTCTTAGCATAGGAATACCCTTCCCCCAGATGCAGCATGCTATGAAGTCTTATTCTTGAGCATCTTTGTTCATTAACAAAACAACCATACGGGGTAAAAATGGGAGTTCATAACCCACTTGAATCAAAGTGTGAAATATGTTATGTCAAGAACTATGTAATGTTTTGAACAACCAACAATAAAAATTAAAAAAAAAAAAAAACAACCAGACACATTAGTGCACTGCCCACACCACATGCAAACATCAATAGAAAGGATAAAAAGGGAACCATATTGCCAGGCTTCTTAGGGGCTGGGGAAGGCACATTTCCTCGATGACAGCTAGAGTCATAGTACTACAATCTTAGCAGACATCTGCTTCAAAGGAGCTTCTGGTTTTCTGGGGCTATTAGAAGCAATGCCCAAACCTGGTTCCACTCAATGGCACCCCGTGTTGGCACCCAAGAAATAGATGGATGACTCAAGACTGTTTTAAATACCTGTCTCATGAAAATGAAGACTAGCAGCAGAACATTCCTGACCTCTGGTGCAAATATTGTCCAACTTTGTCTGAAGATGGGAACATGTTCTCACCTGGAAAAATTTTCATAAGCAAATAATTTAATGGAAGATCATATATGAAGCTATGGGGGGTGCATTCCCTGATTTTTTTTTTCCTCTTTGAAATCCATTCTGGAAAGTCATATTTCAGATGATATTGCATTCTACAATTTTTTGCTACTTTATTAAATTGGGAATCCAAGTAGCTGAGTCTCAGGGTAGATCTGCTTGGCCTAAATGTTTTTATATAGCCAACAATACTATAGAATAATTCCAGTATACTGAAACACTGCATAATCTGACCAGAAAGGTATTTAGAGAATTCTAGAAGCCTTTGGGTTTGTTTCTATTCAGCAAGTGCATTGCACAGCTCCTAGTTTATCAGGATATTGAAGAAACAGCTAATCTCTTGCACAACATTTGTCATCTTGCAAAAGATTATTCCCTAACTACATGGCTGAGAGAAAGCAATTGCACTGTTGCATAAAAATATTGGGTTGTTGAAATGTTACCCTTTAGAGAAATGTTAATTCTGAAACCAGCCTTGCTTTACTGTAGGGTTATAGCAACTGCAATTGTGACACTGAGAAGGAAGGAGGAAATCTCATTCTTGTGGGTAGTTCCTCCTTAGAAAGTTTCATTCTATAGATACATTTCTCCAATGTGGCTAAGGAGATTTTTTTTTTTGGTACCGGGGATTGAACCCACAGGCGCTTTACCACTGAGCCACATCCCCAGCCATTTTTAGTTTTTTTTTTTTTTTTTTTGAGACAGCATCTTGCTAAGTTGCTGATGGGGCCTTGAACTTTCCATCCTCCTGACTCAGTTCCTGAGTAGCTGGGATTGCAGGCATGCACCACCAAGTCTGGTGAGAAAATTCATTTTTACAGGTTCAACAGTTTATCAAAACTTCAGATATTTTTCATACATTCTGCTGTAGAGATTTATTTATCCTACGTTTAGCCAATCCTAGGAAGATTAATCTGACTTGTAAATTTTTTTCTCTCTCTGAATATTTTATTAGCTTTACTCTTTAACATATCTCATTTTCATTTTTGCTCTGATTACAGACTTGGAAATGGATAGTGGGTCCCATGTTCCTGTATCTCTGTGAGCGGTTGGTCCGGTTTTGGCGATCTCAGCAGAAGGTTGTCATCACCAAGGTATTGGTTGGGTTAAGAATTACTAGTACTCAGTGTCTGATTATATTGGACAATTCTACCCAAGTTCCTTATGTCTCTCTCTATGAGTTATCTTTTGCCCAGTTCGTTTTGCCCCAGTTTCTTCTGATGAATTTAAAGCAGAGAGGAAACCTATAGTTTATTTCAATGTACTTAGCCCATTCATCAAATGGTTGGGCCTTTAACTGGAGACACTAGAAGATGCATTATTTGGGTAGTTAAAAATGAAGAATGAAATGAAGTGAGTCTTAAAATTTTCAGATGCCAAAAGAACTAAGGAACCAAGGGTAGGTCTGACTGAGGCTAAAATAATTTCTTAGGTCATTTTTGCCTCTTATGTGCTTTATATGTAATTACAGAATATCAAAGTGCCCAAAGTCTCAAGCAAGTTAGTAATTAATTAAGCTGCACTTTAAATCTGGTCTCCTAACCCCAAGCCTAGAGGGGCTTTCCCCCACAAACTCTTCTATGGGTTTTTTTCCCATAGATAAACATTCAGCTAACTAAATATAAATGGAAACTCCTTGTTACAATTTCCAGAAACATTACACAAGACCATTCTTATCAAATGAAATTTAGTTCAACTCAACAAGTATTTACCAAAGGCCTGCTATGGGGTCATCTTTGCAAAACATACAAATTCCTTCTGTCCTTTGTCCAAACTTTTTTCATTTGATGTCTATGAAGGGTCATAGTAAAGCTAGTCCTGTTGGCATTGGAAGTCTTGCAATATAGGAAACCAAACAGTTCTCCTTTTTTGCTATTTATATTGTATTATAAGAAAAACCCCATAGATCAGCAAAAGAAGCTGCCACAAAATTCCCCTTACTGGACAAAACATGAGTGAACCTGACAAATATGTCTCTTAACCATCCTTGTAAGGAAAACTTGTTTTCTTGTAAAGAAAATTGATATTCATTTTCTTCTCAGACCAACAAATACAAGAAACAAGGTGTTATCTCAAAATACTCCAATGAGAATGCTGTCCACTAGTGTATCTTACTTAGTTAAATCCAATTTGTGCCTGTGATGGCAAAATTGCAATATGGCAAAAAAAAATTAATCACACAAAATGATGACATGGCAAACAATTTTCAACATAATTTTCTGGATTTGAAATTATTCTTTCCAACTCTGTATTTCGAAGCAGAAGGGAAGTTGGATACAACCATATCATATAAGATGTGTTTAAATCACAAGCTTTGGAAATGTTTGACAATTCTTTGTGTGGTATTGGGGACAAAATCTAGGGCCACACATGCTAAACACACGCTTTACCACTGAGCTATACCTCCAGCCAACTTTTTTGGAGGAATGGCATGGGTACTGGGGATTGAACCCAGGGGCACTCTACCACAGAACCACATTCCCAGCCCTTTAAAAAAAGTTTTATTTAAATTTTCATTTTGGGACAGGGTCTTGCTAAGTTGCCCAGGCTGGCCTTGACTCTATGATTCTCCTGCCTCAGCCTCCTGAGTTACTGGGATTATAGGCATGTGCCACCACACCTGGGCCAATCAACAATTTTTATTAAAAGAATTTCCTACTCTCCCACAACTCTCTACCCATGAAAAGAAAAGCCCAGAAATATCAGACAACATTAAAAACTTACTATTTTGTTTCCATTGATTTTACTTTCCTTTGATGACCCTTGATTTATCTTTAGTTGTATAGTATGAAGTTCTTTTAGGTATTTTAGGAATCATGAAAGAAACAGTATATTTCTCTTTCTTTTTTTAATTCTTATTTTATTTTTAAATGACACATAATTGTACATATTTAGAAGGTAAAATGTAGTGTTTTGATACATTATACTTTGTGTAATGATCAAATCAGTGTAATTAGAATACACTTCACTTCAAACATATATCATTTTATTGTGGTGAGAAAATTCAAAATCCTGTCTTCTAGTTGGGCATGGTGACACATGACTGTAATATCAGCCACTCAGAAGGCTGAGGCAAGAAGATCTCAAGTTGAGGCCAGACTGGGCAAATTAGTGAGGCCCTAAGCAAATTAGTGAGACTCTGTCTCAAAATAAAAAAAAATAAAAAGGGTTGGGAGTATGTAGTTCAGTGATAGAGTACCCTGGGTTCAATCCCTATTTACACACACACACACACACACACACACACACACAAACACACAAACACACACACACAGAGAAAAAAGAAAAATTCTCTCTTTTAGCAATTTGAAATGTATATTATTGTTACTCATGGTCACCATCAGAACTTATTTGTGCTTTTTTGTTTGTTTACAGTACTAGAGATGGATCCCAGGGGAACTCTACCATTGAGCTACATCTCTAGCACTTTCATTTTATTTTGAGACAGGGTGGGTTTTGCTAAACTACTGAAACTGGGCTCAAACTTGCAGTTATCCTGCCTCAGCTTCCCAAGTCACTGGGATTACAGGCTTGCACCACTGTGTCTGGCCTTATTTCTCCTCTCTGTGATTTAGTATCTGTTAACCAACCTTTGCCCATCTCTCCCTCCCCACTACTTACTCCATCCTCTGGTACCCACCGTTCTACTCTCAACTTGTACGAGATCAACTTTTTTAGATTCTACATATGCATGAAATCATGTGGTATTCGTCTTTCTCTGTTTAGCTTATTTCACTTAACATAATATCCTCTAGATTCATCCATGTTGTTATAAATAACAGGATTTTCTCCTTTATAGGGCTGAATAGGTTTCCATTGTATGTATGTACCATGTTTTCTTTATCCATTCATCTGTTGATGGACACTTAAGTTGATTCCGTATCTTGGCTATTGGGAATAGTGCTGCAACAAACATGGGAGTGTAGATAGGTCTTTGACAAAAAACAGCATGTTACTTTCTGCATGGCTCTTTATTGTGTTCTATTTTTTTTTAAATAGTTATCTACTTACTAGTTGATGGACATCTGGATTGTTTCCATTTTTTGCTATTATGAGTTAAGCTGTTAGGAACATTTGGGTATATGCAGAATGAAGATGGCGGTGGATGGGAAGGAACTGGCTTGGGGAGAGATAACTCATGGATTCCCCAAGTAGGGAAAAATGTATTGCATGGAATAGGACAGGTTCCAGGTGTGATTCAGGGTAAGTTCAGATAGTAGAGTTGACTTGGTTTTGGGGGGTGTTGGTATATAATAGCCTGTGGAATCTGCTTCTGTCCAGTTCTCAAGGCCCTCTCTCATCCCCTGGGGAGATAGGAAGGCTGAGCAGGAAACTATCGCCTTTTCTCCCCTATTTTTTTTGTGCCTTCCTTGACTTCTGAGAGAGAGAGAAAATCAGAATAGGCTGATGACTTAGGCTGGATTCCTTGGTAAAGACTCTGAGACAGAGAATTGTGTGCAGAAAGTTTACAGGGATATGTTCTCAGGAACTGCATCTGTAAAGAAAGTACAAAAAATGGAATTGGGGAGAGGGAAATGGTGACCCTGACTTACAACATACTGGCAACTGTGGCCTCAGTTGATCCTACAAGGGGTGCTGGAGTTGAGATGGTCCCTTGGAGTTGTCCCAAATTTGGGAGAAACAACCGGATCTTTGTATCCCTTTGGCAGTCTATCATTGGCTATGGGCTACAGCTGAGGACAATTCCGAGTGACCAATTAGAGAACCTTCCATGTTGGCCCTGAAGTAGAGACCTAGATGGAACATCTTAGCTCAGCCTTTTATCCATATGGATACGGAAAGGGCAAATCTTTGGGATAAGTGTCACTTCCAGAGACATGTTTTGTTCCATAGGTGGTCACTCACCCTTTCAAAACCATCGAGCTACAGATGAAGAAGAAGGGATTCAAGATGGAGGTGGGTCAGTACATTTTTGTCAAGTGCCCCAAGGTGTCCAAGCTGGAGTGGCACCCTTTCACACTGACCTCCGCCCCTGAGGAAGACTTCTTTAGCATCCACATCCGCATCGTTGGGGACTGGACAGAGGGACTATTCAATGCTTGTGGCTGTGATAAGCAGGAGTTTCAAGATGCCTGGAAACTACCTAAGTGAGTACAAGGCACATGTTACAAAGGTATAGGTGTTCAAGGAAAATGGCACTCAACAGCTCCTCTTTCCCCACATCTCACTATGCTATCTCCTGAGTCTCTGACAAAACACAGAGGCCCTAAGAATATACAGAGCCCTGTGTTCCCCATTGCATGTGTGTTGTATGCTTATGCATATTTTTAATGTCTTTATGTAAAATTAAAAATATTTGGACCAAATATTAATAATAAATTAGTAAAAAATATTTTCAAATTCCTGTAAGTTCGTTAATACCAAGTTACATTGACTTTTCTAACAAACTGAACTGTAATGTATCAAAATTATCATTAGAATAATAATAATAATTATTATTATTATTATTATTGTATAGGGATTGAACCCAGGGCCACTTTACTACTGAGCTATATTCCCAGCCCTTTTTATTTTATTTTAAAAAGTATTTATTTTTTAGTTGCATTTGGACACAATACCTTTTATTTTATTTATTTTTATGTGGTGCTGAGGATTGAACCCGAGCACTCTAGCACTGAGCCACAACCTCAGCCCCTCTTTTTATTTTTTATTTTGATACAGGGCCTCACCAAGTTGCTGAGGCTGGCCTTGAACTTGCAATCCTCCTGTTTCAGCCTCCTGAGTCACTGAGCCACTGTGCCTGGCCAAAAATATTCTTAAATTTTAATCAGCACCATTTATTTGAGAGAAAATGCCAGGCATTATTGATTTTACGTCACTCCCTCCACATGCCTAACGTAGTATCAGGCGCTTAACAGATGCTGAAGAAAAGTTTGTTGAATAGCTCAATCAATAGACAAAAGAGAAGTGGGAATAGCAAATCTATAGGATGTTATAATATTAGAAAATTCTCACATCAGTGTGCAATATAAGTAGGAATTTCAAGTGTAGGATGTCCTGGCAAGAGACAGAGATATGTGTGTGCATGTGTTTTTTGTTTGTTTGTTTGTTTTTGTGTGTGTGTGTGTGTGTATGTGTGTGTGTGTCTGTGTGTGTGTGTAAAAGAAAGAAAGGAGGATGGGAAGGTGAAAATATAGCCGTGGTGAGTTACCATGTTTTCAGTTAGCTAAAATTCCTCTTCTTATTTTCAACCCCAATGTTTGCACTAAGTTGTTTACTTGTTAATCATTTCATGGAAGAAAGTGCGTCATAGATACATGGCCCCAGTTGGAATTGCCATATTGTACATCTGCAGTAGAATGAGAGCTCCATCTTATTGTGAAAAGCAGGACATCCCTTAACTACCTCCTCTCCGCTCCTTTTCAGGATAGCTGTTGATGGACCCTTCGGTACAGCCAGTGAAGACGTGTTCAGCTATGAGGTGGTGATGTTGGTGGGAGCAGGGATTGGGGTCACGCCCTTCGCATCCATTCTCAAGTCAGTCTGGTACAAATACTGCAATAATGCCACCAATCTGAGGCTCAAAAAGGTAAGTTCCTTCATGTTTTAGAGGGCCTAGGGTGGCCATTCATTGCCAAATGAAGTGTGAAATCCCCTTCAGGGCAAGGTCGGCAGGGAACATGGAAAGTAAAGAAAGGCTTTTGTGGTTCCAGAGAGCCAGGCTTACACTATTTGATAAGTTAAATGTGCTTCTCTAGAAGCAGGCCTATTGGTCAAAGTAATTTAATACAGTATTTATATAGCATTACTGGATGTTCCCAAGAAAGAAACTTGGGAAAGAAATATTTACAGCCCTAACCCTCCTCCTTCCCTTTCTCTTTTTTCTCCTCCTCCTTCTCCGCCTCCTCTTCCTAGTCCTCCTCCTTCTGCTGGGGATTGAACCCAGGGCCTGTGCAGGCTAGGCAAGTGTTCCACCACTGACCTATACCTCCATCCTCTTGTATATGTTCTTTTTTTCTGTGTGTGTCTTAGAAGAGTTTATTAAAAATCATTCCAGCTGGTTGCAGTGGTGGGCACCTGTAATCCCAGCGGCTCATGAGGCGGAGGCAGGAGGATGGCAAGTTCAAAGCCAGACTCAGCAAAAGCAAGGTGCTAAGCAACTCAGTGAGACCCTGTCTCGAAATAAAATACAAAATAGGGCTGGGGATGTGGTTTAGTGATTGAGTGCCCCTGAGTTCAATGCCTCGTACCCCCCAAAAAATCATTCCATTTATTCCTCACTTTTGAGGATGAAAGTGCGATTAATTTTAATTGATTTACATCAATGCAAACCTTTTTTTTTTTTTTTGGTATCAAGGATTGAACCCAGGGACACTTCATCACTGAGGCATATCCCCAGCCTCCACCCCCAGCCCTTTAATTTTGAGACAGGGTCTCAATAAGTTGCTTAAGGCCTCCCTAAGTTGCTGAGGCTGACCTTGAATTTGTGATCTTCTTTCCTCAGCCTCCTGGCTGCTGGAATTACAAGTGTGAGCCACCATATCTTCCCCCTTTTTCTTAGAGCTTTATAGTTATACATGAGGCAAACCTTTTAAATAAGGTTTTAATAAAAATAATAGTAAATGTGGATGTCTATCTTCTTTTCTAATATTCTTTTTACAGGCTTACATATTTTTGGAAATTGGTAAATTTCAACTATGTACAATTTCATATCCTGATTTTTAAAACACAGAAAACATTTTTCAGAGACATCATAATGTTTTCTAAGACTTCATAATGTTGATTTTTAACGATTCCCTCCTATTCCATTGGGAAGATGCAGACTAATTTTTCTTCCGTCTGGGATTATATATTGAGATAGAATCAATTTTTTAGGCCTTTAACACTTTTTTTTTTTGCAGGCTGAGGGCAGGAGACCTGAAACTTTTTGTTTCTAATGGATGTCTCCTCAGGATAAATTCCCAGGGGAGTGTTACATATAAATTACCTGATGAAGGACATCCTCAATAAATGCCGAGTCACTCTAGTAACTATAAAGATAAATTCTGATGGGTACATTGAGCCTACCTTGACTTTTTTTTATGTTATATAGTTATTTTTTTGTTTTGTGTTTAGAATTCTTCCCCTTCACCTCTTTTCTATATGGAGGAGGAATGGGTAAAACTATTTATTTTTTCCTGCTAGTCTATTTCCTCATGTCTTTCTGAGAGGAGGTACAAGGGATGTCAGGGCTTCTGGGGGAAAGAAGTAACCAGCCCGAGATGGAAAATAGGTGGACTAGAGACTTGTTTTTTCTTTGAACTATGTATTTCTTTCCTTTTTTTTTTCCTTTCTTTTTGTTGGGGGCGGGTACCGGGAATTGAACTCTGGGACATTTGACTACTGAGCCCCATCCCCAGTCCTATTTTATATTTTATTTAGAGACAGGGTCTTACTAAGTTTCTTAGCACCTCACTTTTGCTGAGGCTGGCTTTGAACTCGAGATCCTCCTGCCTCAGCCTCCTGAGCCGCTGGGATTATGGGCAGGCGCCACCGCACCCAGCTGAACTACATATTTCTGAGGCAAAGTTAGTTATTTACTGCCCTGCCAGAGCCTATGAAATGTCCAGAACTTGCTGAAAACCTATGTTACTAGGCATTCTGAGCATCAGGAAAAAAAGTTAGGGGGACAGTAGCAATGCATGTGTTCATGCTGCGGGAACCCATGCCAATACAATCTGCTCTGGGATCTGTCCTTTTCCAGATCTACTTCTACTGGCTGTGCCGGGATACTCATGCTTTTGAGTGGTTTGCAGACCTGCTGCAGCTGCTGGAGTCCCAGATGCAGGAGAGGAACAATGCCGATTTCCTCAGCTACAACATCTACCTCACTGGCTGGGATGAGTCTCAGGTGAGGATAAAGATCCAGGTCTCAAGTCCTTCCTTTAGTGTCCAGGGCTTGCCCACTTTCCCTTGGTTACTGGTGTGTCCTGTGTACTATTTTTTTCCCCAAGAATGGTCAATGGATTCTAATGATCTAGCCCATTCACTCTAACTCAGCATCACCACCTGGTAGACTGTTGAGACTAGATTCAAAGCTAAGAATTCTAAGAGGGAATAAAGGCCAAGCCCTTGACATTATTAATGCAATGCTCCCATCCGGGAATCCAAAACCAGACAGACAAAATTTGCCAGGGGACAATGGGGAAAAATGTGTTTGTGTTCCTTTAATTCATATGTTTATGCATATGACTTAATATGCATACTTGATATGTTTATAGTTGTTAACTATATGCAGTCATCCCTCCTTATGAATCGGTTCTGCATCTGTGGATTGAACCAACCACTGATACTAAATATTTGGAAAAAAACTTGGATCTGTTTTGAACATGTACAGGCTTTTTTTCTTGTCATTGTTCCCTAAATAATACAGTGTGCAACACGTACATAGCATTTACACTATTTTAGGTAATATTAGTAATCTAGAGATCATTTAAAGTATATTGGGAGGATGTGCATAGACTGATTTTTATTTTTCCAGTACTGGGAGTTGAACCCAGGAACCCTCTACCACTGAGCTACATCCCCAACCCTTTTTATTTACTTTTGAGATAGGGTCTCACTAATTTGCCCAGACTGGCCTTAAACTTGGATCCTCCTGTCTCAGCCTCCTAATGTGCTAACTTCTATGCAAATACTACACCATTTTATATAAAAGATTTGAGTACCACAGATTTGGGTATCTAAGCAGGAGGGGTTTAGAACCAATCCCCTATAGACACAGAAAGAGACTGAACTGCACACCAGGTACTGTGGTTAAAGTTTAGACAGATTGTCTAATTTTATGCTGTGAACAACCCTATGAGATCGCTACTATTATTATCCACATTTTACTGATGAAGAACCAAGGCCCAGAATAGATTAAGTCATTTGCCTAAAGGCAACTGGCAAGTAAGTGGCACAGTCAGAATGTTCCAGAGCCTGCACTCTTAGTGACTACCAGTTGTTTATCATTATTAATAGTAAATAAACCACTATATAGCTAAAGAAGGTGAGACATATGTGGTGTGTGTGTGTGTGTGTGTGTGTGTGTGTGTGTGTGTATTTCAAATGAAAGTATGCTTTCAATACTGTTCAGAGGCCACTATAATAAAATCAGCCAGTACTTCTCAGCTGGGGGTGATTTTGCCCACCTCCCCAGGCCTCCCAAGGAGATTTGGCACTGTAAACATTTTACAATTGACAAGCTCCTGCAACAGTACATGAAGCCTCTTATAAGGTTCTTAATCTCATTCATGAGGGAGGAGCCCTCTCGACCCAATCACCTCTTAGAGGTCCTACCTCTTAATGCTATAACATTAGAGACACCTGGAATTTTGGAGGAGACATATTTTGAGCACAGCAGCTGGCTCTAGCTAGGCATTGGCTCCTCAACCCTGGGCATCTTTCACTTACATCCTGTTACTGTAAAGAGTGCCATTTCATTTGGCTTTTGTTTTGTTTTGGTACTGGGGATTGAACCCAGGGATGCTTGGCCAGAGCCACATCCCCAGCCCTTTTTATTTTAAATTTTGAGACAGAGTCTCACTAAGTTCTTTAGGGCCTCAATAAGTTGCAGAGGCTGGCTTTTGAACTTGTGATCCTCCTGCCTCAGCCTCTTGAGCCACTGGGATTATAGGTGAGCACCACCATGTCCAGCTAATTTGAGTTTTTAAATTCTTGCCTATCATAGATTCTCCAAGTCTTAGAAGAATCTTGTAGTAAATGTAGATCCAGGGACACATGACCATGAGAACTGATGCTTCAGAAAAAGCAGTTTTAAGATACCACTTCTGGGGGCTGAAGTTGTGGCTCACTGGTAGAGTACTCGCCTAGCATGTGTGAGGCCCTGGGTTCGATCCTCAGCAATACATAGAAATGAATGGAGTAGGGGTATTGTGTCCAACTACAACTAAAAAATAATTGTTTTTAAAAAAGATACCACTTCTGCAATTTAAAAACAAAACAGTAAAACCCCTTTGACAAAAATGAAACCCAGGGGAAAAATCTATGATTTATAAATTGTTTTACAGTTTTGCTATTTTATTTATTTAGGTACCAGGAATTGAACCCAGGGATGCTTTATCACTGAGTCACATCACTAGCTATTTTAAATTTTTTTCATTTTTGAGACAGAGTCTCACTGAGTTGCTTAGGGCCTTGCTAAGTTGCTGAGGCTGGCCTTTGAACTTGTGATCCTCCTGCCTCAGCCTCCCGAGTAGCTGGGATTATAGGCGTGCCCCACCATGCCCAGCAATAACAGTTTTACAATTTTAAAAAGCCAGACACCGTTTTTTTTTTTAATAGAAAACTTATGTGCATTGAAAAAAAATAATTATTTTGCTTTGGAAAACTGGTCCCATAGCATTATGAAAAAAAGTGACCACCTTTTAATTTTCCTTTCTTTTTAAAATTGTTTGTACCATTTTACTATTCACTTATTTTTGCAGTACTGGGGAGCCAGGGGTGTACAAATGAGTGCTGTACCAATGAGCTACATCATCAGCCCTTTTTCATTTTTTAAATTTTGAGATGGGCTCTCACTGAGTTCCCCAGACCAGTCTCAAGCTTGTGATCTTCCTGCCTCAGCTTCCTGGAGCAGGTTGGATTACAGGTGTGCGCCACTGCACCTGGCTGCGACTCTCTTTCTAAACCCCCCTCCATCCTCATCATCCATCCCCTGCCTGGTGAATTTAATATCTGATTTATTTTAAAAATACATTTAATTTTATCCACTTTTATGAAAAATACCTTGTGTTCAAGCTGAGGCCCCCTAGAACAGTAGCAGGAAAAGAGCAAGTACACACAGCACAGCTTCAAGTTTGATTTAATGTCCTGTTAAGTTACGAACATAGGACTATATTTTAGTATGTGAATATGTCAGTTCTTAGTGATTCTCCCAAATGAGTGGAGTACATTGGGGTGAGGAGAGAAGCTCAAAGAAAGGAAAGAGTAAAACAGTGTGTTGGGGGAGTGCACGCCTGTAATCCCAGCGACTCAGGAGGCTGAGGCAGAAGGATTGCAAGTTTGAGGCCAGCCTCAGCACCCCTGAGTTCAATTCCTGGTACACACACACACACACCAAAAGAGAGAGAGAGAGAGAGAGAGAGAGAGAGAGAGAGAGAGAGAGAGAGAGAGAGGCAGAGACAGAGACAGAGACAGTGAGACAGTACCCACACTTCAATGCCTGACTCAAATGCTATTGGCCTTCAACCTTCCCTTAGCCTTCCATTCTAGACCTTCCTTCTTTGTTCTCATTAGGATGCTGTGTCTCTTCCTGGTACTCATCACAGCTGATTCTACAAATTATATCATTTATATTTATACTTCAAGGTCTCCCCTTCTGGAGAGGAAATTGCTAGAGAGAGATCCAGTTTGTTTATTTTTGTTTTTCATCTAGCCTCCAGTTTGGTGCCTTGGGTTATGCAACTGTAGCTGTGTGTGTGTCACAGCATGCTTCTTTTTCCTGAATTCATGTCCTTTGCTGCAGGCCAATCACTTTGCTGTGCACCATGATGAGGAGAAAGATGTGATTACAGGCTTGAAGCAAAAGACTTTGTATGGACGGCCCAACTGGGATAATGAGTTCAAAACAATTGCGAGTCAACATCCTAAGTAAGGAATCCCCTACCAAGCTGTTCATTTCATTTTCCCCCTCCCCTCCCCTCCCCTCCCCTCCCTTCCCCTCCCCTTCCTTTCCCTTTGATACTGGGGGGTGTTTTACAACTGAGATACACCCCATTTCTTTTTTTATTTTGAGACATTGGTGAGGCTGGCCTCAAACTTGTGTTCCTCCTGCCTCAGTCTCCCCAGTAGCTGGGATTACAGGCATGTGCCACCATGCCCGGCTCATCAGGGTGTTCTTAAGGCTTTTCATCTACTTTAGCAGTGGCTCCCAAGCATGCCTACATTTCTATATTCTAGAAACTAAGATACCCATGTTACTATACTGGGGTTGAATTCATGTCCAACTGAAAATTCCTGATATTTGTGACTTTAGGAGGGAAACTTTAAATCACAGCAAACTTACCTGGGGGGGTTATAGAAAATAAGAATCTCAGGTCCCTCCCTCAGACTTTCTTAACTGCCTATCCCAAACAGGGTCATGGTTTTGTTTTGTTTCTGTTACCTAAATCTCACTAGTGTATCCACTTCTTTTAAATATTCATATAATTTACACTTATAATTAAGGAGACACTACACTCCTCACTTTCAGTTATAGCTGCTGCTTCTCCTCCCTCCTCCTCCCCCTCCCCCTCTCCCTCCTCCAAATTGCTGGGATTACAGACACGTGCTACTACCATGCCCTCTTCAATTGTAGTTTCTGGATCTAAAATTGTAAGTTGATTGCTGTCCCAAGGTTCTTTCTGCCCTCACTAAAGCTTTACCCATCACGAGACCTTGAGATCTCCCATCTTGCTTGAACACATGAAAAACTCAAGAGCTCGCCATAAATATATACATTCCACCATTGTTTCTTACACTATAATGAACATACAATTCAACTGATTATATTTTTTAAATGTAGGTTCTGGGGGGCTGAAGTTGTGACTCAGTGGTAGAGCACTTGCCTAGCACGTGTGAGGCCCTGGTTTTGATCCTCAGCATCACATAAAAATAAATAAATAAAATAGAGATATTGTGTCCAACTACAGCTAAAAAATAAATGTTTTTTAAAAAAATGCAGATTCTGATTTACTTGTTCCAGGGTGGGACTCAAGAATCTGCATTCTTGGGGCTGGGTTGTGATTCAGTAGTAAAGCGCTTGCCTAGCATGGGTGAGGCACTGAGTTTGATCCTCAGCACCACATACAAATAAATAAATAAAATAAAGGTATTGTGTCCACGTACAACTAAAAAAACAATATTAAAAAAAATCTGCATTCTTAAAAAGCCAATGCCAGAGCTGGGCACAGTGGCACATGCCTTAATCCCAGCAGCTTGGGAAGCTGAGGCAGGAGGATCAAGAGTTCAAAGCCAGCCTCAGCAACTCAGTGAGGCCCTAAGCAACTCAGTGAGACCCTGTCTCTAAATAAAATACAAAATAGGGCTGGGGATGTGGCTCAGTAGTTAAGCATCCCTGGGTTCAATCCCTGGTACCGCCCCCCCCCCCCCAAAAAAAAAAAAGCTATTGATCTGGAACTACGTTGAAGAGCAAAGCCTTAAATTCTTTGAGGGAGGGAGACACACTAACCTGTCAAAGTTGGGGTACCTAAAGAGGGTTTGCTCTTGATTTCAAGGTGCCAGAAAGGGTTTGGGGGCTCAGAACCCTGAAAGGAAGTAGCTCACAGACTCACAAATTAACTACCATTTTCTCTATGGTAGAAGTTTCCAAAAACGCTTCTTAGAATTCATTCTCTAGGGAAGTCAATTGCCTTTTGAAATATCCAGCTGTCCCCACAAGCAGGGCTGAGTCTCCAACCTGCAGAGTAATCTGAACTCTTGGCATTTGTTATATATGAATATATATTTTAGTTGTCAATGGATCTTTTATTTTTTATTTATTTGTATGTGGTGCTGAGGATTAAACCCAGGGCCTCACACAGGCCAGCAAGCACTCTACTACTGAGCCACAACCCCAGCCCAATTCTTGTCATTTGTAGAAAAGACAAAGGAACAGAGAGGATTTAGCCCTGAGGCCTCAGATTGATAGGAAATCCCCCACCTGCTTTATAGTCCATCTTATTCCAAAGTCTGAAACTGTTTTTTTTTTTTTTTCCTTCTTTCCCCGAAAGTACCAGAATAGGAGTGTTCCTCTGTGGTCCTGAAGCCTTGGCTGAAACCCTCAACAAACAGTGCATCTCCAACTCTGACTCTGGCCCTCGGGGAGTGCATTTCATTTTCAACAAGGAAAACTTCTAACTCTCCATGAGGAAACAAATATAGGTTATTCTGGATCAGATGCCCAAATAATGTTGGTTGGATGTAAGCTCCCTCCTCTTAAAAAAAAAAAAGGAGGAAAAGAAACTATAATGTAATGGATTCCATGAAAGGAATATCAATGCTTGTTTGCGAGTGAGAAGTTACATTTTTACGGCGCTTTAGGGTTTGAAAAGTACTTTTACAAACATTATTTCATCTCTTTCTTCCCATATTGTCAGAGGGAGGTGGGACAATGATACCTGACTCATTTTTAGGCTAAAACAATGGGGCCTTGAAAGGGTCCAATATGTTCCTTAGGATTATGGACCAGGGGAGCCAGCGAAGAGTATGGTCAGTGCCTTTTCTCCTCATCCATCTGCAGAAACTGGATCTAGGCCATATGACTCCAAATTTGGGAACCTTCCCACAACACCAGGCTGCCTCAAAAGTCAATTTTTATACTCCTCCAAAGAAACAGCAAACCAATCCTTTCCCTTTTGTGTCATCTTTTTAAAAAAATCATTATTGCCATATTGAAAATTTTCCAGTTAGCTGGGGAATGATATATGCTGAGAGTGATTTAACACTTCCTAGTGACAGTTTTGACATCTCAGCATATTCCAGCTTTCCAACACAGCAGCCTAATTGAATCAGAGATTCATCCTACAAATGAATATTGCAGAGATTGAAGTTAATCAAGTATTTAGCATTTACCATGGTGCTTGGCAGAGAGTGGATACTCAAGAACAGTTTGTTGAATGAATGAATGAATTAAAAGACATTAAGAACTGGGCAATGTCAGAGTAGAACTAATAGAAGGACTTACACAAAATTCCCTAAGGAAATAACTTCTGTTACTCTTAGGGAGCAAAGGATGCTGGTTCTCCTGAGGGTAGAGAACAGACTAAGGATACTAACCAGTAAATGGCCTGGAGAGTTCCTTAGGCTACTACTTGAAGCAAGGAATGAGAAATGGAGGCAGAGAACTGATCTCTTGCCTTAACTCAACCTGGCTTCTCTAGGTTCCTATCCTATGAAAGAAGATTTACTGATAGAAATATTCTCCTCCAGTCAACCTTCGTGAATTTCAAACTTGAAATTTGTGACAAATATGTATTTGATAATATGCATCTTAAATACAGCCCACCCCTTGTTCTATTTTTACACACACACACACACACACACACACATGCACACACCAATGGATCTTATGTGTGTGACTAATGGTTTATTTTTATTGTATCATCATCATCTCCTCCTCCCCCTCCTTCTCCCCGTCCTCCTCCTCCTCTTCTTCTTTCTTTTCCTCTTCCTAAAATGTACATCCTACAAACTAAAATCCCCAGTTAACTGTGTAGATATTGAATTCGCACCCAATAGAATGTTCTGGATATCCATGAGTTCAAGAAAGAGGATCTAAATCACTGTTAGTAAGACCAGAGCCTTTTTAAAGAACTGCTCCCATTTCTGGGAACTAAAAACTGCTTTATTTACCCCACTTCCTGGGGCTGCAGATATTTAGAACTATATAGCTTTGGTAATGAGGAAGAAAGAGAAGAAAGCAGGGGGAGGGGAAAAAAAAGAATTCCTTAAGGGTGAGGAAGAGAACAGGTGAATGAGAAAAATAAAACAACAACAACAAAACAAAAAACAGAAGGGGCAGCTGATTTCACATTGGTCACTTCTTACACCAGATTTCTTTTCTTTCTTTTGGTACTGGGGATTGAACCCAGGGGTGCTCTATCACCGAGCTACATTCCCAGTTCTTCTTATTTTTTATTTTGAGACACGGTTTTGCTAAGTTGCTGAGGCTGGCCTCAAACTTGAGATCCTCCTTCCTCAGCCTCCCAAGTCCCTGGAATTACAGGCCTGCACCACCATAGCCAACTACCCCAGATTTCTTAATTTTGCATATAATGAATATAATGAAGGAGGCATACATAGATTTATCTTATGTTGATTACATATGATATTGAATCTTTTAAACTCTGGTCACAAATTTTGATGCCAAGTGGGCATATTCAGGAGACTGGAATGAACTAAGTAAGAAAGTTGTTTGTTGTAGTGCTACTGTTCCTTTGCTCCCCCAGGATTTCAGGGCACTGAGGGCCAGTTGTGATAAATAAGGCCTTCCTGGATGTGTGAATGTTGCCTCTAAGAAGTGTACAGAAGGTTTCCACTGGAAGAAAGTTCGATCCAGCAGCCTAGGTATAAGTTCATTCATTCAACACATTTATTGTACTATTACTATGGCTCTGGTACTGCGTGCATAGTTGCAGTGCTTTCAAACCAAAGTGTGAGCAGGAAGAGAAACCTCAGTTTTAAGGACACTGCTCATACTGGTTCTTTCTAACCTAGATGTCAGAAGTAAAACCAGCTCCAGTCATTGCTCTGAGAATATTTCTCTGGAGTTTTCTACCTTTGACAACAACACAGTTAGCAAAATAGATCTGCCCTGTGTTATTCTGGTTAAGAGATGAAAAATGAATGTAAAAGTGCTTATCATTATAAGAACTTCCTTCTCTATTCTTCTCCCAAGTTCCCAGCCATCAGCGATCAGCTCACCAGTACAGCTTTTTTTAGTGTTTAGTATTTAGCATTAAGTAACACATGCTGAGAGAATAATGAAGCATTGTTTTTAATCTCAAGGTTATAAAGGCTTTTCTTAATTCTGCTTTTGCAATATTGTGTTTATGAAATTTGAATTCTTGCAGGCATTGCATGTGAATAGATTTTTTTGGAGAGAGGAGCTGGGAGATAGTTCCCAGGATGAACTATTAAAACTGTTGTTAACCATTAAAAATAATGAGCTCTCCCTGTGTCTGTGTTATTGAAATTGGTACTAAAGGGTGAATACAGCTAGCAGGGATTTTCTCCGCCCTGGTAGGGTGAAGAGTCTCTTATGTTTCAGTAGATAACATACCAGATGTTGCATAGTGTATAGACTGGGGAGGGGAAACTGAGGTCTAAGTTTCGTGTCAATGTCCCAACGATCCCCATAGTATTGGTATGAGGGAGTGCCACTTCCCATTGTGGACAGAATTTGGAAGACATAGGAGCCCCAGTGTGACCTCTTTTTTTCAATTTCCACTGGTCTTTCATGTTCTAACTTCACAATTAAATGTCATCAAGTTCGACTGTGGACGTGTGAACTCATGGTTCTGTTCTAAATGAGCCCCCTGTATGATCCTCACTATCTAGGAAACGTAGAGGCCTGGGATGTGGCTTCCCGAGGGAGTCCGTGGGTGCTGCCATGGAGGGAAAGGACATTACCTCAAACAATGAGCAATCATAGGAATAGCAAATGTTGAGTGAACACCTCCCACTATTCCAGACATTTTATACACACTTCATTTAATCCCTAAGCAACACCTCTAGGTAGCATTTTGTCATAATTTTATTGATAAGAAAACTGAGTTCGGACAGCAACATCCCTGTTCTTTATACTCCACTAGCAGATTAAATAAGGTATAAGTAACCAAGAATATTCTCAAAGTTATTATACTAGGTACAAACTATGCACTGGATAACAGTGGTCACATAGACTAAATGTCTTGGTATCTTAGTTTAGAAACACTGAATAACCTGATTCATGCTAATTTTGACTCTCCAGGTAAGGGAGAATCTATCAAGAAGTATAATTATGTTGCTTAGAGAAAAGAAGGTTCTAGTGATTCACTTTAAATTTACTTACTATATTTATTTTATTTGTAAACTATTTCTGTCTTTCAGGAAATGGCCAATTATTGTTCAGTGGTGTGTGTGTGTGTGTGTGTGTGTGAGAGAGAGAGAGAGAGAGAGAGAGAGAGAGAGAATTTGCATCTGTAAGAAGCCAAATCATAAGAGGACAGAATTTCTCAGCTATAAATGATGTTGGGCAAAACACAAATTGCTGACAAAGGATAGGAAATCTGACCACTAGAGATTTCTAATAAGAGGGATAATAATCCACCAGATGGCCTGAGAGTCTTTTAAAACTATTGTCTTTGCTATCTTGTGATGGTGGTTGGGGAATGAAATACTCTAAGCAATTGGGTATTCCAGTTAATTATTGCTACTTGTGCTAGCAATTTTCAAGGAATTATGAATTTCAAACCATAAGAAAAAACGAAATCCCCAATATACCACTTTGTAGATAAAAGGAAGTACTAGGAAAGGGAGCACATGAGCAGAGGCCACTCTGGGTTTATTTTCTGGATCTTATTCTGAAAACTAACAACAGATAAAACTGCGTTTATCTGTCTTTTGGAAAAAGTCCAAAGTATTATATTGAGAAACTTCATCCTTCCAAGGATACCACTCCAAAGATAGCAAACTTGAATTATGCAAAAAAAAAAGCAAGCTCAAAAGGTCTTTATAAATCTTAAAATTACTTTAGAATATTTTTTTCATCTTTTTTTTATTGGTTGTTCAAAACATTACAAAGCTCGTGACATATCATCTTTCGTACATTTGATTCAAGTGAGTTATGATTGTGAGGGGAAAGGGGGGGAAACAAGGGAGAGAATTAAACTTTAGAATATTAAGTTATCACTAAGTTTATCATTGTGTTAGATCACTTGATTGCTAAATGTCGCTTCCTCTTTTAAGTTATGTAATTTCCAGTTATGTAAGAATAAAATTCACTAACCCACCCACGTTTGTGGGAAAAGCTAAACATTGCTCTTCAGGGTCACATGGAGACAAGTCAGGTCATGAGGAATTAATCACATTTGTCCTTCCTAAGAGATATTAGAGCAAATCTCAGATACCCTTGTGTTGGCTGAGAAGAAAAATTCAAGCTGTCTAAAGATCACCCAGTGGTATTGCATGTGTTTGTTTTGGCTGAAAACCACTAGGGCACTTTATTGATATGGCAGTTAATCCAGATCTAGATGTTGAGGGTCTGCAGAGCTATAACTGATCATCCTGTTTTCCAGTTGGGAGTTCTGCATCATCCACGGCTAAACCATCACACTTAGACATCTGTGTTATCAACTACTTGCTTCATTCAGTTCTGCTGGGGCCAATGTCCCTGTTGCTTTACTGAGTTCATATCCAACTCACAAAGAAATGAACAGGAAGATAGCCTTTTAGAAAATGAGTTTTTGAATTTTTTTTTCCTTTGGAGAAAATAATCAACGAATTTTACTTGCCACTTGTACATTTAAAAATACATTTTGAGAAAAAGAAACTCAGTTGCCTACTTCCCCCGTGGCCCTGTGAGACGAAGAAACTGAAGATGCCTACTTAAATTTTGGTTCAAGTTTGTTAAATGGTCTACTTGGAATGAGTTGCTCTGTCTTTAAATTCCTTGATTACATAGTGGCTAAGTATATTGCATTGAAAATTCCAGTATATACAATGGCCAGAGCTGGGGATTGAAGCCAGGGCCTCATACATGCTACGAAAGCACCGTATCATTGAGTTACACTCCCAGCCCATAACCATGGAGTTTTAAATTTGAAATATTCCAGTTTTTTAAAAAAAATATTTTGAGCAGGGTCTCACTAAATTGCTTAGGGCCTTGCTAAATTGAGGCTGAACTTGAACTTGTGATAAGCCTGCCTCAGCCTCCTGAGTTGCTGGGATTATAGGCATGCCCAAACTTTAAAACTTGGACAGAATTAAAATAATAAGAACTTGAAGATCTCTTCTACATTAACAGGAGAATGGATAAAGAAATTATGCTGTATTCTGCAAGTGAATGGTATGCCCTGGTTAAAAAGCAAATGAGCTCTTGCCAGGCATGGTGGTGCACACCAGTAATCCCAGCAGCTTGAGTAGCTGAGGAAGGAGGATTACAAATTCAAAGCCAACCTCTGCAATTTAGGGAAGCCCTAAGCAATTTATCGAGGCCCTAAGTAATTTAGCTAAATAAAAAATGAAAAAGGCTGGGGATGTGGTTCAGTGGTTAAGTCTCCCTGGGTTCAATCCTCAGTACCCCCCCCCCAAAAAAAAAAAGTAAATGAGCTCTAACACATATATTAATATCAACATGGATAAATAAAAACATAAGTTAATAAAGGAAGTTGTAGAAGTATTAAAAATACATTTTGAGAAATCTGCTTTAAGATATTGTTTATTAGGGCTGGGGATGTGGCTCAAGCGGTGGCACGCTCACTTGGCATGCATGCAGCCCGGGTTCCATCCTCAGCACCACATACCAACAAAGATGTTGTGTCTGCCAAGAACTAAAAAATAAATATTTTTTTAAAAAAAGATACTGTTTATTAGAGCTCTGTGGAGAGCTGAGAGAGATGCTCAGTTTTAAGCAGCATTCCAGGTGGAGAAAACCACTCTAAATAGAGAGAGCTGGGTTCCCCTTATCAACGTCCTCCTGGAACTGCACAGGGTGTGGTGGAGAGGAGCCTTTTGAATGTAACACTTGAGTGATTTATTCCTCTATCTCCTGGTGCAGGCGGTAGTTCTATTGTTTGTCCTCTAGGTGGAGCTCTAAGAAACTGGGAACTGGGGTACAACATAAGAGGACTGTTTCATTTTGAGGCCACCTCTAACATTTGGGGTAGTGGGGACCCTTTCCCAATGCAGCAAGTGTCAGAAAAGCTTACTGATGACAGGGAGACTGTGAGGCAGGTGGCATCTGTAGCCACAGCTACAGCCAGAAGGGATATCATCTGCCTCATTAGTGTATGTTCTAGTTGATCAC